CTTTTATTAATTAAAAATTTTTTTTGTTAACATATAGTGTAGTATTAATTTCGGGGTAGAATTGTGCAAGTTACTTAACCTCTCGGATTCAGTCGGCTCAACTGTAAAATGAGAATAAATGATATTATTGTCATGCATTATTTCTGAGATAGAGGGTTTTTATGAGAAGTAAATGAAGCAACACGAGAAAAAGGCTTAGCATATGTCAGGCATCAGGTAGAATGATAAATTCTCAATGAATCGTAGTTGTCATGATGATTATTAACTCTTGCTGTACTTTATAAGACCTGAGTTCCAGTCCTGGGCTCTGCTGCTAGCTACCTTGGGGAGCTTACACAAGTGTTTAAACTGAGTTTCTTCTGTAAACTGATGGAGCTGGACTGTAATCCCTGAGTATCCCAAATATCTTCCATTTTATAAAACACATCAAAGGTCAGTTCACACCCAGGGCTCCAGAGCCTTTCAGTTTTACATCATCAGACCTGAATTAACAATCTAGCGGCTCCCTTCCACCCAGACCCACAGGCAAGGTCACAGGGAGCCACTCAGAGGATGAGGTGGGCTCTGCTCCTTTATTGTGAGCCGACTTTGTGTCACCTGCTGTCCGTTTACTTAGAGTGGAGTGTCCACTTCAGAACAGTGTGCTCTTCGTCGTAGTAAAACAAACACTGGGGCTTGAGTCTGATTTTAGCTTCTTTTATGTTGTCTTGGAATATACAGAAATGTTCCTGGGTCTAAGAAATGTTGCTATAAATTGAGCCAATTAGATTCTTACAAAATGGTATTGAATTTTGTTGATTAGAGTTTAGAAAGGAAAAAACAAAAACAAAACACGTGCAACTAAATAAAACCCGTGGTGATGGGTGGATGACAGAAGGCCACTGTCAAATGTCCTCAGGGATTCCTTTCTTAGGGCTTTTGATCACCGGACCTTTTACTTTCAAAGGAAAAAAATTAACAGCAGTCGGATACTACTGGCAGTTTCTTCCTTCTGTAGCATAAAACAGCCTGTCCAAATGCTTATGAACGAAACCTCAAATCCTAGCTCATTCACAGGCTTTTGTGAATACCTACCTACTGTGTGCCAAGCAAGCACCAGGGAAAAATGTGAATAAGATGAGGAGGGTTGGGGCACTGGGTGGCTCAGTGGTAGAGCATCTGCCTTCTGCTCAGGTCATGATCCCAGGTCCTAGGATCGAGTCCCAAATTGGGCTCCCCACAGGACACCTGCTTCTCCCTCTGCCTTAAAATCTTAAAAAGAAGATGGGCGAGAGTCTATACCCCCATGTCCATGCCCAGCATGCCAAGGGTGCTTGAGAAAAGTTTGTTGAAAGAATGGAGTATAGTAGTAACTGTGAGTTAATAGTCTGGCTGTTGCATCATGTCACATCACTTTAATAACTCCTATGACACTGGATTCCATTTTAGATCTCCTGCCCTAGAGGTGGCTAGCCCACTCAGTCTTGGGCCAAACTAGAAAGATGTGTGGTGGACTTGGCACCTGACCATTGGTCCATTGTGGCAGCTAAGAGTTTGAGCTGCCTGTGTTGGAATCCACGCTTCAACCTCTTCCCACAAGACCTGGACAACTTATCTTCCTCTGCTGTGCCTCAGTATCCATATCCATAAAGTGGGGACAGTGGTGGTACCCACTTCATATGGCTGTTGTGTAGGTTAAATGTGCCAACTGCTTGGTGTGCCGTGAGCACTCTAAATCCTAGCCGTCACCGTCTGTGTGTTTCAGTCGCTGAAACCTTCTCTGATGCCACTTCTCATAAGACACACAGGGTGGTGAACACAATCCTTACGCGCATCGTTGCCAAGCCTTCCTTTGTGTCTAGGCACACTGTAGGTCCTCACTGTTCTCGTTTGGATGTGAAGAGCCTAGCAGTCAGGTCTGAGTCTTCATGTGGCTGCTTTCCACTCCCATGGTCTTAGCCTTGGTCACGTTTCTGAAGTGAAGGGAGGCAAAGACCTATAAAACGCAGGTACTTCCTTCACCGTGGGAAGGATTCCACTTCACCAAATGCCTGGCACACGGTGCGCACTCGATAAATAGTAAGATTGTTGTCCTCATAAAAAGCACACAAAGCCCCTTTGGTCTTTGTGGCCCGGGTGCCAACGCGGATTCACAGGGCACCCACCGAAGCACACGTGGCCGGGGCTGGCAGAGGCACAGGGGGCAGGCAGCCTTGGGAAAGGGCCTGAGTTGCAGGCCCCACACGGTCAAAGCATTTTAAAGGTCTTGTATTAGAAAAATAAACCAATTAAAGAATACTGCCCCCCATAAAAGCTGACTTTTAATGGACTCTATGGTAGGGTTTTCACCCCGGCGGTCCTGCAAGCCAGCATCTCAGTGAGCCCGTCTGCCGCCATGGGGAGAGTTTAATCTTGCACGGCGTGAGCATAATTTTACAAGTTTTATGGCTGTTTTTTCTCCTTCGAAGTGTTGCTATGTCATTGTGCACTGAGGGCAACTTGCGTGCATTTAACAGTTTACCTCGTTTTTGGTGGAAATGAAAAATGAAGCCATAAATTAAAGAAAAACACAACGTGGATTTTTCCCCTTCTTCTGCAGGCAGCCGTGGAGGGACAAAGAACCAGTGTTTCCCCCCAGCACAGCCTAATCAAATTCTACCGGCTTTTCTCTGTGGACATTTGCCCGCAGATCGCCTCCCGGGAGAGGGCTGTGTGGGGCACGTAGAATGTGTCTGGGGCTTGTTGCACTGACTCCAGGCATCCTTGGGACCGTTCTCTAGGGCAGGGGTCAGCAAACTACAGTCCATGGAGCAGATCCAGCCCAGCGCCTGTGTCTGTGACACGGTTGGAGGGTTGGGGGGAACAGAAGAAGATTTCCTGACCCATGAAAATGACATGGAATTCGGTTTTGGCATCTGCCAATGAGATTGCCTTGGCACCTGGCCATGCCCGTTCGGGTCTGTGTTGTCTGTGGCTGCTGAGAAGGTGCCCCAGAGATCCAGGGCACAGAGACAAAGCACCACCTGCCCTTTGCAGAAAAAGTGTGCTGACCCTGCTCTAGGAGGTAAAGGACAAGGAGAGAGAAAATGCAGCTTCCAGTTGCCTAGAAGGGTTTCCACATGACTCAAAGTGACAAGTCAAAGGAGAACTGCCAGAGAAAGAGTTGATTCACCTGGAGAACTTCCAGAAGTAATTGCAGAGATGGCTTTCCTCACTTTTCTGACCTTGGGTTGGCTTCCAAGTGGAGGGAGGGGCCTGGGCTTGCCCCTCCCCCCCTTCAACCAGCCCTCCCAGGCTTCTGTGGCTTTCTTGTTGGAGAAGCCCAAAGCCCAGCTTGAGGTCTGCCAGCTTCCCATCAGCTTGTTCGATGGCTCAAGAATAGAGAAATTCTCCCCTTCCCCCCCAGGGGGTAAGCGGTTTTTGTCAGTAATTATTATGTGCAAATCCACTGTGCGGTTTGATCCCCTTAAGAAATTTATAAGAAATACCTTTTGGCCAGCACCCTGGTTTAAGTGTTCTGCAGATAGTAGTATCTCGTTTAATCCTCACAGCCAACCCAGGGAGTTAGATCCTCATCCCCATCTTACAGCTGAAGAAACAGGCACAGAAAGGTTAGGTGCCTTGCCAAGGTCACCAGCTGGTATGTGGTAGAGCCAGAATTCAGACCTAGGCTGTCTGCTGTGCTGCTGCTACATAAGGGCGAATTCTTTAGGCTTGTGGATGAATCTGCTTTCCTTGTCCTGCTTACACCCTTACCATGTCATTCCACAAGAAAATTGCCTCCTGGGGATCCCTGGGTGGCTCAGCAGTTTAGTGCCTGCCTTCGGCCCAGGGTGTGGTCCTGGAGTCCCAGGATCAAGTCCCACGTTGGGCTTCCTGCATGGAGCCTGCTTCTCCTTCTGCCCCCCCACCTCATGAATAAATAAAAAGAAAAATCTTTAAAAAAAAAAAAAAGAAAAGAAAATTGCCTCCTGTGGGAGAAGAAAACACTTTTTCACTCATTGATTCATTCCTCCCTCCTCCATGCCACCCTTCTTCCTCCACACCGCCCTTCCTTCAACAAATAATTATCAACAGGTGACTGTGTTGGGATCTGGGAAGGACTGCCTGGAATGAGGATGTTTTGTGAACAAGAAGAGTGAAAAAAGACCATTTTCCACTTAAAAATAGTTCTTGTGGAGGCGCCTGCCTGGCTCGGTGGAGTGTGAGACTCTTGATCTTGGGGTTGTGAGTTTGAGCCCCATAGTGGGGATAGAGATTGCTTAAAACCTTTAAAAAAAAAAAAAAAAGTTCTTCGTGTCCTCAATGCCGTTGGCTTTTGTGCAGTTCCCTTAATTCTCTTTTAAATTTTTTATTTTATTTTTATTTTATTTTATTGGGTGTGGAGCCCAATACAGGGCTTGAACTCATAACCCCGAGATCAAGACCTGAGCTGAGATCAAGCATCAGATGCTTAGCCTATGACTGAGTCACCCAGGCACCCCTTCCCCCTTTTTTATTACTTGTAACTGCCACCTCTGTCTGTTTAGAACCACAAACCCTTGTCCTTTCTGCCTCCACTTGATATTTTCATTAAACATAACCTAATTTACAAGAGGCTTTAGGGAGCCCTGGTGTCTGACTTGGTTGGTGGGAGGCACAGCTCAGGAGACCAGGGCCAGGTGCTGGAGGGTGGGAATAAGAGGTGGTAATTGATCCTTGAGGGAGGAGGCTGTGGAATGTGACATGTACCCCCAAGCCCGGGTCTGGGGACACCCACTCTCTTGGAACAACCTTTAGGCTGTCTTTTGTAAGTAGCTTCATTTCAGTGAGTTTTAGATGCCGGTCTTGTTTTCTTAGAAACTTGCTGGGAAAAATATGTAGCATTACTTTTGTCTTCCTGAGTGTGGAGGTGCCTGACTGCTGGTTCTCTCTCTTCTTTTCCTACCTGTTTCTTCTTCCCCCACCTCTGTGCCTTTTCCTTTGTCAGACTATAAGGATTTGTTCCTCATTTCTGATGAGCCTTCACTTTCTTTCCACAGTCATGCGGAGGAACCCCTTTGGTGTGGACATCTGCTGCCGGAAGGGGTCTCGAAGCCCCCTGCAGGAACTCTACAACCCAACTCAAGTAAGCCCTGGAAACTTCCTTGCTTTCTTGGCTTGGTCTCCATGCATCAATATTTTGGGGAGGAGAGGATGAAAAACTCTAATATTTGGTTCCTTGGGGATTTGAAACTTCCACTGCCTGATATTTTACTTTCAGTGATTACTTTCTTGTTTCTCTCTGTAAAATGGCTCTGAAATTCTAGCTAGAGGGGTTTAGAATTTGAGAGAAGCTTCTGTGCAGTGCTGGACTAAGTTCTCAGAGCTGCTCAAGTTTGAGAACCACATAGTCATGGGTGCCAGCAACAGGACTCTGAAATTATAGAGCCAGGAGCTGGCCAGTGTTCTCCTTAGCACTACCAAGGGTTCACATGTGGGTGAACCTGCCATTCTGCTCCCTCATCAGTTCATTGAAGTCCATGATCCCCCAAGAATTCAACCTCCCTGAACCAGTTTACTGAGACAGTTCTGTGAGGTGGCTTTTGGTTAAGCAACTATTGTGGTAAATTGATTTGAAGAGTTTCTCTTTGAGCAAAAGAACTTTCAACCAAGGTAATGTGCCCTTGTGGAAAGCTAAGAGCCAAGGGAAGAGGCCTGGTCACTACGGCTATGGCCTCAATGGGGTGTGTGGGTCTTTTTTTAAAATTTTTATTTAATTATGATAGTCACACAGAGAGAGAGAGAGAGACAGAGACACAGGCAGAGGGAGAAGCAGGCTCCATGCACCGGGAGCCCAACGTGGGATTCGATCCCGGGTCTCCAGGATCACGCCCTGGGCCAAAGGCAGGCGCCAAACCCCTGCGCCACCCAGGGATCCCGGGTGTGTGGGTCTTGATGGGGAGACTCTAAGGCTGGTTCTCCTGTGGGAATGGTAATTAGCACTTGATACCAGGAAATGGTGAGTGAATAACTGGTGGCCCATTATCTGACCTTTGATTGCTGTTGAGAAAAGAAAAAAAAAAATGTACAGCTTTGGCCATAGTCTCTGAGCTTTATTTTGTGTTCACATTCTCCATATAGTATTTCTGTGGGCTAAGGTGCTTGGTAAACAAAGATAATGCATGTCCTCAAAGACACTGCATTCCTTAAAGTCTTGCAAAGGGAGCTTGCTGATCTACATTAGCCTCCCTGCCTCTCACCTGCACTCCCTTCTGGCAAAATGGGCTCCGGGTGGCCATCATGGGTGGCCTAACCAGATGAATTCACTATCCTGTTAGCCCCACTTCGCTAGAGTTATAGTGTGAGGAGGCCTGATTAGCTACGTAATTGCAAACTCCGATTGCCTGAGGCTTCCTTATTGCGTTCTCTGGTGACTCAGCAGGGAATTTGATATTTGGGTTCTGTTTGGCACCCAAATAATCTGATCATGATAGGCAAGTCTCCTAGCGTGTTCACATACCTGTCCTTAAGAAGAGGCAGAACTGGCCTGGGCAAAGGGTAGGCTTTTTGGTAAGCCATGTTGAGAACAGCATAGGCTACTGAGATGCAAACCATTCCTGTCTTTTTGTTGACGTGCTCTGTTCTCAGATCATTTTCCCTTTCAGAGTACAGCTGCTGAAGCACTCCTGTTTTCCTGGGGAAATTCTATGGGCAGAATCTGGTATCATGGGAAGAGTTTATTTCTGAGGTAGACACTCCTCTGGACAGGAAGTCTGTGGACTGTGTCTGGGCTGCTTAGTGTTGGATCCCTACTGCCTAACACAGGGCCTGGTCTATAGAGGGTGCCCCCAAATATCTGTGGCTGAAAGAATGAAAGCCTCGGTTCACATCCCTACCTCACCTCCCACTGGTTGTGCAGCTTAGTGATGAGTCCACGTCTCTGGAATGTTGGGAGGTTAGAACTCTGATGTGTCAGGGACTATGTAAACATTTGTCATTATCACGGTCATGAGGGTGGTTTCCATTTTGGAAGCCTTGACTTCAAAATCAGACATGGGTTCAAAGCCTAGTTTCTTCATTTCCTAGCTATGTGCGTGTGGGCAAGATACTTCTTAACTCCTCTTACACTGCTGTCCCTCATTTATAACATGGTGTTAACAATACCTGCCTTGTAGGTTTGCATGAAAAGATGTACTTTGACCAGTGCCTCCTGTAGAGTTTGTTTATTCCTGGCTTTATCCACTCTTTCACCATTTGTTTCTTCGCTATTACAAGTGCCAGGCTCTGGGCACAAGGGGGTTAGCTGGACATGTGTGGTTAGCCTTCCAGGTCTGGTTCCTCTTGTCATACCAGAGTTGACATGAGTGAGTTGGCTGGAAAGGGAGACCCTGCTTGGTCCATTTGTAAACCTACCAAAGGATCGACGACCTTCCTGGGTAGAGGTCCTCTCTTCCTTCTGGTGATACTTTGTTTTCTGGGTGAAAAGCTCATTTAGCAGGAGCCTAGGACCTGGGAGGGAAGATGGGGCTGGAGAGGCAGCTCTGGGAGCCATGTGTGAGGGTGTAGGTGGGGGGGTGAGTCACCTCCATCAAGAATGTCGTGGGCAAGCTGTCTGACCCCCTTCTCTGGCAACCAGGAAGATGTCCCTGCAGGAAGATCTCCCTGTTTCCTCGGGATGTTGCCTGAGATGTTTTTTCTTAGGCTGGTTTCCTTTACAAGCTGCAATTATGTTCCATTCCTACGCAAATACAGTCAGCAGTGCCTCAGAGACACTGTCTTGGTGGACGTGGGCTGGGCGTCAGGAGAGAAGGGAGCAGGGGCCCCTGTTAACTTTTGTGTTCATGAGAGATTTACTAACTTTGCACCCAAGTGGGCATGGTTGTGGTTTCTCATGTTTCCCAAGGAGCCAAGCTGTTGAAGCTGCTAAGCCTGGACTGATGTTGTCACAGAGGTGGATGACAAACCCTGTAATTGCTAGAAACCAAACTGCTCCTAGAAATGCCATTTCCCCATTTTATGCTGACTGGTTATTTGGGTTTGATCTATGATGGTGAAAACGGAACTGTTTATTATAGATAAGAAACCAATGTTAGAGCAAGAAGGCACCATCTCAGTTACCCTGTACTGGTGTTATAGACCAGCTGTTATCTAGATGATTCTAAACCACTCATTGAATGGTTTTAATAAGCCCCAAGCTAGGTCTAATATTCCCATTTCCTGAATGGGAGCGCACTGAGGCCCAGAAAGTTATTCCACACAGCTAGTAGGAAGCAAAGATTCAAACTTGGGAGAAACTACAAATCCATGTATGCTACACTCACTGTCACTGGCAAAGTTCTCTTGGTAGGAATTACCCTGTCTCCCCTCTAAAACAACAGCAGAATCACACTCACATTTTTATTGGACAAAGGCTTAAAAGCCCCCTTGAGGAAATTGGCTATAATCTGATTTTTGTGTCCAAGGTTTTCTTATTTTAGTGCTTCACAAATCCCTAACCATTAAAACAACAATTGGTTAAAAAAAAGTTTATAGTTGGTATTCTTAGAAAAACTGTACTCTGATGTCTTATAATTTCCCTGCTTCTCTGCTGTCTCCTGGCCCCAAAATAAAATGTAATTGCCGATCAGATCAGCTGGTGTCAAGTCACCAAAAGTTCAGGAGTTGCCAACTGCATATTTGTGGGCCAAGCACATCTGTGGGCCGCCCTGGCTCAGCTCAGACTCGCAGGGCAGAGCTGTGTTGTCAGCCATTAATAGGGCATAATTGCCCCAAAATGCCAGCGAGAGCGAGACAGCTTGTCCTTCTCCCTCGCCCACCTCCTGGTCCTCTTGTGGGTTCCCTGAAATCTTCACAGCATCACTCATGTGGTTCAGCCCTGCCCTGCCTGGTGCTTTCTTTAGCATTTAGCTTTGCTCTGTGATTACCACGTTCCGAGAAGACAGATGCACAGCCCAGGGGCTGACCAGGAATTCATAAACACAAAGTCTAGAAGGCTTGCATGAGTGCACTAGATCCAACTGTCTATGCCATTTCTAAGGGTCCATGAGGGCCAGTCCATGTTTGAGGGATCTAGTTGTAGGTATTCTGGGTGAATTGTTTGAGGCCAAAAAAAATTTTTTTGCAGGACAAAACAAGTTATTTGATGGGACCTTATTGGTCTAGTCTTCAATATGCTAAAGTAGATTCACCTCTCCATAAGTAAGGTAGGCTCCAGGAGGAAGGATCGAGAGAGGAGGAAAGGAAGAACAGTTATTCTTCATTGAAAATATAACCTACGTTCACTATACCATACTATACTACACTGTTCGAGACATTTCTACACATATCTCAGTGAATCTTCGTAACAACCCAAAAAGGAAGGTTGAATGCCATTTTTCAGCTAAGTTAAAATCTGCAGTTCAGTGAACTGAGCAATTTGCCGAGATCACATAGCTCCTAAGTGGTAGTGCCCGTCTGGGTCCATCTGACCTGGCGAGATTGTAGGAGGATGAGAACCTATCACTTCATCTTTTCCAGATGGGAAAAAAATGCTTCCTTGAGGTTCTTTTTTCTAGTGACTCAAGCTGAGACGGATGTGCTCAGGATCGTTGTAAAATTCCCAAAGTCAGGAACCAAGGCTTGTGGAGTGATGTGGCATGCACAGTAGATGTCCAATAAACAACTGAAGTTTCTTTTTTTTGCTTACTGAACCTGACATTTGGAGAGAGGCCTTTGTTTCTTGGCTGTGGCCAGGCTCAGCACGAATCACCCTCAGGAACTCTGCTGGGGGTGGGGGGCGGGTTAAGGTTGTTTTTTTTTTTTAAGATTTTATTGATTTATTCATGAGAGACCAGAGACACAGGCAGAGGGAGAAGCAGGTTCCCCACAGGGAGCCCAATACGGAACTCGATCCTGAGACTCCCGGATCACGCCCTGAGCCAAGGCAGACGCTCAACCACTGAGCCACCCAGGCGTCCCGGGCTTTAAGTTTAGATTGATAAAAGCTTGAATCATCCAAGGGGGTTAGGGTGGGGCTCTTCTAGCACCAACCTAAAACAGCTTTCTCAGCAGTGCTTGCCAAACTTTCTTCTGCACACATTTAGAGGATAAACAAGAAAAAGACATGGGGAGGAGAGGCCTGTAGGTAATAGGACATGATAAATGCCT